GCTGGGTTTGGGAGGGCCATGGTGGTCCCAGCCGGACTCTGGGGTGTTTTATCCCCCCACGCCAGGGGTGACCCCGGCCTCTGTCCCGCAGGGATTCCGGCTGCTCCTGGCCAGTCCCAACGCCTGCTACAAACTCTTCAAGGAGAAGCAGCAGCAGGGCCACGGGGAGGCCACGCAGTTCATCGGTGAGGACATCCCTAGGGAACGGCACTCCCAGTGTCCTTCCCAGTGTCCCGTCCCACTGTCCATCCCACTGTCCACCCCTGTGTCCATCCCTCTGTCCATCCCTGTGTCCATCCCAGTGTCCATCTCCTTTGTCCATCCCTGTGTCCATCCCGGTGTCCATCCCTCTGTCCATCCCTGTGTCCATCCCCTCTGACCACCCCAGTGTCCACCCCAGTGTCCATCCCTGTGTCCACCCCAGTGTCCATCTCTCTGTCCATCCCCTCTGTCCATCCCTTAGTCCATCCCAGTGTCCACCCCAGTGTCCATCCCTCTGTCCATCTCTCTGTCCATCTCTCTGTCCACCCCAGTGTCCACCCCAGTGTCCACCCCAGTGTCCACCCCAGTGTCCGTCTGTCTGTCCCCCTCTGTCCCCGCTGTCCCTCACCGCTGGCGCTCCCAGGGCCGAAGGCCGCGGACAAGAAAAGCATCGACGAGATCCTGGCGGACGAGTCCCTGCGCAGCGACAACCGCCACGTGCAGGTGGGGCCGGGGGCTCCCCCGCTCGTCCCGGGGGTCCCGGGGGTCCCGGGGAATGTGGGGCCGGGGGGCTCCCTCTGCTCATCCCGAGGGTCCCGGGGAATGTGGGGCCGGGGGCTCCCCCGCTCGTCCCGGGGGTCCCAGGGAATGTGGGATTGGGGGCCTCCCTCTGCTCATCCCGAGGGTCCCGGGGGTCCTGGGGAATGTGGGGCCGGGGGCTCCCCCGCTCGTCCCGGGGGTCCTGGGGAATGTGGGATTGGGGGACTCCCCCCGCTCGTCCCGGGGGTCCCGGGATCTGGGCTCTGGGGAATGTGGGGCCGGGGGCTCCCCCGCTCGTCCCAGGACCCCCGGGGATCCTGGGGAATGTGGGGCCGGGGGCTCCCCCGCTCATCCCGGGGGTCCCGGGAAATGTGGGACCGGGGGCTCCCCCGCTCATCCCGGGGGTCCCAGGCTGCAGCGGGGGGATCTGGGCTCCTGAGGAACAGCCGGAGGGGGCGAGGAGAGGGAGAGGCCCCAGGGGACACAGAGGGGGCAGCGGGAGGGAGAGGATGGGGGGTGGGAGATGTCCATAGGGATGGGGTGGGATGTTGGGATGGAGATGAGGATGGGGATGGGGATGGAGATGGGGATGGGATTGGGATGGGGATGGGATGATGGAATGGGGATGGGGATGGGATGGGGATGGGGTGGGAGGTGTCCACAGGGATGGGGTGGGAAGTTGGGATGGGGTGGCATGGGGTGGGATGGGAGGTGTGCACAAGGATGGGGTGGGAGGTTGGGATGGGGATGGGGATGAGGATGGGGATGGGGTGGGAGATGTCCACAGCGATGGGGTGGAAAGTTAGGATGGGGTGGGAGGTTGGGATGGGGTGTGAGATGTCCACAGGGATGGGGTGGGATGTTGGGATGGAGATGAGGATGGGGATGGGGTGTGAGATGTCCACAGGGATGGGGTGGGATGTTGGGATGGAGATGAGGATGGGGATGGGGTGGGAGATGTCCACAGGGATGGGGTGAGAGGTTGGGATGGGGCAAGATGGGAGGTGTGCACAAGGATGGGGTGGGAAGTTGGGATGGGGTGGGATGGGAGGTTGGGATGGGGTGGGATGGGGTGGGAGGTTGTCCACAGGGATGGGGTGAGAGGTTGGCATGTGGTGGGATGGGAGGTTGGGATGGGGTGGGAGATGTCCACAGGGATGGGGTGGGATGTTGGGATGGTGATGAGGATGAGGATGGGGATGGGGATGGGATCCAGCGGGGCCCGAGGCTGAGATGCGGAGAGCCAGCACGGCAGCCCCGCGCCCCTCCCGCAGCGCTGCATCGACTGGAACCGCGACCTGCTGAAGCAGGAGCTGGGGCTGAGCGAGCAGGACATCGTGGACATCCCGCAGCTCTTCATCCTGACCAACTCCCGCGCCGACGCGCTGTTCCCGGACATGGTGAGACCCCGACCCCGCGACCCCGACCCCCGGTTCCCCTGGGATCGAGCCCTGCCCGACCGCCCGCCCCGCTGCAGGTGAACATGCTGGTGCTGGGCCGGCACCTGGGCATCCCCAAGCCCTTCGGGCCCGTGGTGGGCGGGCGCTGCTGCCTGGAGCAGCGGGTGCGGGAGCTGCTGGAGCCGCTGGGCCTCTCCTGCACCTTCATCGACGACTTCTTCTCCTACCACGTCCTCTCGGGGGATGTCCACTGCGGCACCAACGTGCGCCGCAAGCCCTTCGCCTTCAAGTGGTGGAACGTGGTGCCCTGAGGTGGCCCCGGCCCCTCCGTGTCCCCTCCGTGTCCCCGTCCCTGTCCTGTCCCCACCAAGTTCCTTTGGTGGCAGAAATAAATCCACGGGGGCTGTCCCGGCACTGGGAGAACGCTGGACTGGTTGAACTGGTGGGGAATGGGGGTGGGTGGAGCTCCGGAGCTGCTGTCCCCGTGCCAAAATCCACGTGGGATCAGGGAACGATGGAATCGTGGGAATGCGGAATTACAGAATCGTGGGATGGTTGGGTTGGAGGGACCTTCAAGCTCATCCATTCCATGGGCAGGGACACCTCCCACCGTCCCAGGCTGCTCCAAACCCCAGTGTCCAGCCTGGCCTTGGGCACTGCCAGGGATCCAGGGATCAGCCACAGCTGCTCTGGGAATTCCATCCCAGCCCCTTCCCACCCTCAGAGGGAAGGATGTATCCCATATATCCCAATCCAAATTGTCCCTCTTCAGTTTGAAGCCATTCCCTGTCCCTCCATCCCTGTCCCCAGTGCCTCTCCTGCTCTCCTGGAGCCCCTTCAGGCCCTGGAAGGTCTCTGAGCTCTCCCTGGAGCTTCTCCTCTCCAGGGGAACATTCCCAGCTCTCCCAGCAGAGCTGCTCCATCCTCGGATCCCCCTGGAGCCTCCTGTGGCCTGGCTCCAGCAGCTCCAGCTCCTCCCTGTGCTGGGCCAGGGCTGGGGCTGCTCTGCAGGTGCCGAGGGGCTCACCTGGGGGGCAGAGGGGCAGAGCCCCCCTCCCGCCCATTCCCACTCCCACTCCCATTCCCACTCCCATTCCCACTCCATTTCCCATTCCCACTCCCATTCCCATTCCCACTCCAATTCCCATTTCCTGCTCATTCCCTCTCCCACTCCCTGCTCATTCCCACTCCCATTCCCACTCCAATTTCCATTCCCATTCCCACTCCCATTCCCTGCTCATTCCCACTCCCATTCCCTGCTCATTCCCATTCCCATTCCCATTCTGATTCCCACTCCCATTCCCACTCCCATTCCCATTCCCACTCCAATTCCCATTTCCTGCTTATTCCCACTCTCATTCCCATTCCCATTCCTACTCCAATTCCCATTCCCACTCCCTGCACATTCCTCCTCCCATTCCCATTCCCATTCCCATTCCCATTCCCATTCCCATTCCCATTCTCATCCCTGGCTCATTCCCAGTGGGAATCAGCACCTCCAGCCTGGGAGCTGATCCCATTCCCATTCCCATTCCCATTCCATTTCCCATTCCCATTCCCATTCCCATTCCTCCTCCCATTCCCATTCCCACTCTCATTCCCATTCCCATTCCCATTCCTCCTCCCATTCCCATTCCCACTCTCATTCCCATTCCCATTCCTCCTCCCATTCCCATTCCCATTCCCATTCCCATTCCCATTCCCATTCCCACTCCCACGCTCGTTCCCATTCAAATTCCCTGCTCTTCCCACTCCAATTCCCACTCCCATTCCCATTCCCATTCCCTGCTCATTCCCACTCCCATTCCCATTCCCATTCCCATTCCCATTCCCATTCCCATTTCCCATTCCCATTCCCATTCCCACTCCCTGCACATTTCTCCTCCCATTCCCATTCCCATTCCCATTCCCCATTCCCATTCCCATTCCCATTCTCATTCCCATTCCCAGAAGGAATCAGCACCTCCAGCCTGGGAGCTGATCCCATTTCCATTCCATTTCCCATTCCCATTCCCATTCCCATTCCCATTCCCATTCCCATTCCCATCCCAGCCCTGGAACCCATCCCTGTCCCAGAGGGATCCAGACGGATCCGTGTCCGAGCCCTGCCGGAATTCCAGAGGGACAAAATCCACAGCTGGTCCCTTGGAGCGACCCCACACAGGGACAGGAACCCCCGATCCCAGAGCTGTGTCCCTTTGGAATTCCAGAGGAAAACGGGACAGGAATCCCCGATCCCAGAGCTGCATCCCTACAAAATTCCAGAGGAAAACGGGACAGGAATCCCCGATCCCAGAGCTGTGTCCCTACAAAATTCCAGAGGGAAAACGGGACAGGAACCCCCGATCCCAGAGCTGCATCCCTACAAAATTCCAGAGGAAAACGGGACAGGAATCCCCGATCCCAGAGCTGTGTCCCTACAAAATTCCAGAGGAAAACGGGACAGGAACCCCCGATCCCAGAGCTGTGTCCCTTTGGAATTCCAGAGGGAAAACGGGACAGGAACCCCCAATCCCAGAGCTGTGTCCCTACAAAATTCCAGAGGAAAACGGGACAGGAATCCCCGATCCCAGAGCTGTGTCCCTTTGGAATTCCAGAGGGAAAACGGGACAGGAACCCCCGATCCCAGAGCTGTGTCCCTACAAAATTCCAGAGGGAAAACGGGAGCGGGAATGCTTTGGGATGGAGCCTGGATTGGGATTTGGGAAATGGAGGCATCAGCTCCAAGTCCTTTTGGGAACAAAACAGGGAAATTAAAAATGAAATAAAAAATTCAAAAAATTAAAATTTCAAAAATAAAAATAAAAAAATGGAAATCCTGAGAATTGAAAAATATGGAGTGAAAAAATAGGAATATAAAAAAAAAGGAAAAAATAAGGAAATAAAGGAAAAAAATTGAAGTTCAAATTTAAATATCAACGTTAAAAAATGAAGGTAAAATAAAGTAGCAGAGTTAAAAATAGAAAATGAAAAGTGGAATAAAAAGAGAAATAAAATTAAAAATTGGAGGGGAAATATAAAATAAATATTAAAGTTGAATTAAAATGGAAAATTAGAGTAAGAAATAGAAATAAATATTAAAATTGAGTTAAAATGGAAAATCAGAGTAAGAAGTATCAAATAAATTTTAAAATTGAACTAGAATTTAAAAAAAATTAAAAGTAGAATTTGAAACTTAAGTGATTAAAAATTAGGAATACAAACGAGAAGATGAATTAAAAGATAGAACTGGAAAAGGAGAAACGGGAAGGAAAAGATGAAGTTCAAAGTTGGATTTGCCAAATGAAAAA